TTTATTTAAGGAATAAAAGACGAAATTCCGTGTTTGATACTCTGATCAAAACACGCGGGATGTAGGGAGAGCACGAGAGAAGCGTAGGAAACCACGACGCGTAGCGGAGTGGTTTCCAGCTTTTCGAGTGCTCTCCCTACATCCCAAGTGTTTTGATCAGAGTATCAAACACGGAATTCCGTCTTTTATTTCTTTTCTAAAATTAAAAGAATAAAAGAAATTTTTGACGCGCACGAGCGTGTTTTGATACTGTAATCAAACATGGTTTTCGACCAATCACAGCGCGCGTAGTATCCTAAGTATTTTAGAAATTTATATAAAGTATAAAAATGCAGAAGCGCACTCTAAAGGCATGGGCCATGCAATCATTTGAAATACTCCAGTTTCGAGACCTTATTTGTGCAGCCTTAACCCGAAGGCATGTAATATATTCAAACACTGCAAAGAAGACAATAAAAATATATGTTTGGTTGAAACTAAACTTTCAAATAAGAGAATTCGAAAGTGAAGTATTGTGAGAGCAGCATTCTGCAGTGATCATTGATCAAAACATCTTGGTTAACGCGTCATTTATGATAATGAATCCTTTTATTTTATTTTTAACAGGCATATATTGACGGCAAGAATTCGAATTCAAAACAACAGATAAACAAATTGCAGAGAGATGCGAACAGTGCCTTACACAGGATTCCTTTCACTTTAAGATGCTTTACTACAAGAGGTAAAAACTACTATTAGGTTTATTGCCAAGAAAGTTGAATTATTAACACTGGTAAGATTGGGGATTAATCGGGATCTTGTTTACACGGAATTCTGCATCAATCACCCTTATTCTTGTTTAAAGAGAGAGACCGCTGTTATAAAAGACAACACGTTCACTTGCGCAAAGACCTTACCAAAAACAAAAGAAAGCATGAAAAAATGTTGACATTATTAATAGCTCTAGAAATTCAAATCTTTTCCGATTTGAGGTTAAGCCTAACCTCATCGTTAGAATATAAAGTTC